TTCTACTAACAGCCAGCCTCAGGACCCCAACGTCACCTTCCTAAAGAATGTTGGGGAGAGTGTTGCAGCTTTTCTGAGCCCCCTGGGTAAGTGACTTAGTTTGTTACCCAATCCCTGAGACTGGCTTAATGGTCCTTTTAACAGGAGCAGCAGTCAGCTGGTGTGGCTGGGATTGGAACTACCTCATGCCTACTTGAGCCTCAAAGGCTTAATTTACACCTGGTACTAAGAATGCTTAGGCTTAGAATAGTCACTCAGTACCTCTTCAGGGTCCTCCTTTGGGGAAAAAAACGAGGAAAGATTTCATTAACGTGTCACCACTGTAACATGAAGTGGTGACTCTGGATTTTGCCTGGCTTCTGTGGACATAGAGAATTTCTGCCCCAACACATGAAATGGTATAGAGGAAGATGACTGTTGGGTACTTCACTATTCTGTATTAAACAACGCTTTGCATTTTAATTCCTACATGTTACATGGCACACTAGGATTACAGAAACCTTAGAGTGTTTAGACCAGGATTGATCCATGCTCATTTAGGACTCTGACTGGAAAAATCTTCAAAGATTTTCTTTATCTCAAATGCATTTCTAGGTATTGAAGTTGATATCGATGTGGAACACGGAGGACAGAGAAGCAAAGTGACTCCCACTCCTCCCAATCAAGAGAAGAACAGTGCTGAGTCAAGCAGCAGTGCAAGCCAGAACAGTCAGACCAAACCAGACTGGAGTAACACAGACTCTGGTACAGAAGTAAATGTTGTTGCAGAACAGATACAAGACATGGTGATAGATCCTGTGCCCACACAAATGGAAGATGGCAGCTTCCACTCCCAGGTACAACAACTATGATGCTAATTTGCTGGTGCTTGCTGAGGCTTTATTAAAGAGGAAGATGATGATTTAGCATGCAGTGTGGGATGGAATGTTAAGGTAACAGCAGATTAAGTGATACACAGCATCTTAGAGGTTCACAGCAAAGGTGGTGAGACTTCTTGTGGATGTAGCTATAGTAAAGGCAGATTGTAGGAACATGCATGCCACCTGGAAAAAACTGCAGGACCTGGACCTTTTTTAATTTCTATTTCAGGAACACAACGAGTCCAGTTCATCAGGGGGTGAGGAGGACTGGACCCACTTGTCATCCAAAGAAGTGGATCCTTCTACAGGTGAATTGCAGTCTCTGCAAATGCCAGACACAGATGGTCCCAGCTCCCTGGATGTATCTCAGGATCCTCCCCAGCCAGGACCTACGGGGCTGAGAGAAGCTGCTCTCTACCCACACCTCCCACCAGGTAGGAGAACATGTGCAGGTTTCATAGCTGAGAGTAACTTTCACTGAGGAACTGCCAACTTGCCTGACATAAGCAGACTTACTTTCAGAAGGAGTAGAAACCAAGGTCACGTTAGTTACAGCTAAACCTGTCTGTGACTTTGTTAGCAGGTTTGGCAGCTCTTGCGCCCCATGGTCAGGTGGTTCCTCTCTTGCATGTGGGCAGCTAAGTCTTAACAAGACTTCTGACCGTAGGCTAATATGCCATTTGAGCAGCACAAAAAAGGTGCTGTCCTAAATCAAGCCCTTGCAATGTGCTGTTTGAGAGAGCCCTTTAGAGTGCAGGATGTGGACTAGTATATCCTGTAGCTTTTGGACAGCATTTTTCCGGTGGGAGCAGTAACAATATCCACAGCCACTTAACTGAGAGAACAGCAAGGACAGTGGAGCCCGACTTGGCAGTTTCCTTAGCTCTGGTTATGTATGACTTATCTCAAAAGACAGCATGTATTCTCAGAGCATGTCACTGGCATTAGTGCCACCCTGCCTCCTGTGTGGTGCTAGAGCCTTGGCTGGTTTGCCAGCGACATGAAATAGTTCAACTCTAAACTGTTCCTCTCTCCACAGAAGCAGACCCTCGCCTCATCGAGTCGCTGTCCCAGATGCTCTCCATGGGCTTCTCTGATGAGGGTGGATGGCTCACTCGACTGCTGCAGACAAAGAACTGCGACATCGGGGCAGCACTAGATGCCATCCAGTATTCCAAGCAGCCACCTCACTTGTAGTAGTCTTTGCAAGAAAAAGCCCTTTTCTAACTGAAAGCAGACAATGCAGCACAAGTCATTCAATGGTTCATCTTCCTGCTGGCTAAGGGTTTCTGTCTCCTGTTCTTAAGTGCTTGTAGAATGGAGGAAAAATAAATACTACTGCATGTGCTATGTCTGTGTTTCAGTATTATGACTATTACTTTGCTTACTGTAACTTACTTAATGCAGTGGAAGGGACTAAGCTAAAAGCATCAAGCAGCTCCCTGTGCAGCCTGGGACCAACTTTCAACACCCACCTTGGTATACCCTTAAGGCTACACTTCTGAGGAGAAATCCAATGCTGTCCTGGCTCTAAAGCCTGCTCTGCAGCTCTTGGAAGAAAGGGTTGCTATGGGAGATCTAAACAAAGATGTAGCACAGGGGAAAAGAGCTGTAGTTTGTAAGGAGGAGTTAATCACAGAATTTAATTGTACTGGCCAGGAATCCTTAAAGCCTGGGAGCTTTCTTCCCCCAGGGCTGACCTACTTCCATTCCTGTTTCTAGCTGATGAGGTTGCTAGACAACACAGTAACCCGAGAGCAATGACCTCTTCCTCCTCTTACCCTTTCCCCCAAACACAGCCACAAGCCAAGTAAACAACTTTAATAGTGCAGTTCTGTATGGCTTAGAGTGAAGCCACCTTGAATTCAAAATTGTCCCTCAGTACTCAACATACAAATATGTTAGCCAAGCAAGAAACAATTCCAAAGATGCCTAATCTTCTCAGAGATCATCATCAAACTCCTCCCCTGTGCAGAAGAGCTGTTCATGAGAAATGCTGCCTGGCTTTGGCCCAGGGCTAGAGTTAACAAGGGTATTTGCCCTCCTGGTGCTATCCAAACAGCACCTTCCTGCAGTGGTCTCTACACCAGATCCTGCCCTTACCAACTGGCTTTGGGGTTCTTTGAACAGCATGTCCTCAACTGAGCAACTGCTGCTGGGCACCACAGTGCCAGGCAGTTTTGAGGCAAACCCCTCAATGCTAGCAACACACTTTCTAAACCCAAAACTTGTGTCTTGAGGCAGATTTCTTCCAGCCCGTTCAGAGCACCTCCCGGCCCTACCAGCACTGGCTGCAGGGGTGCTGTCCAGCCTCACCCCTCCTGCATCCTGCAGTGACAAGGCTACCCCAGCAGCATTTTCACTGGAGTTCTCAGAAGATGAGAGAAATTTTTCCCACTTGGAGGGTTTGGTAGAAGCAGTTGTGGGCTGTGTACTTTCTGGCACTACAGACTCAGGGACAGCAGGAACCACACTGCCTGCAGACACAGCATCTCCACCATCTCCATCAGGCACTGCTACAAAGCATTTCTTGTGCTGTAAGAAGAAAGAGAGCTTGGTTACAAATCCAGCACACATGGCCAGGCTGCACAGAACCAGGCAAAGAGGACCTGTCCTTCCAATACACCCAAATTCTCTCCAGCCTGCTGAGGCATGGCTGAGGTGCTGCATGGGACTATGAACTCTGGGCTGGGAAGACTCAGACTCTAGCACTGCAGGTAACACAGGAACCTCAGACTGTGTACAGACCAAGTGCCACTGCTCAGCAAGGCACTGCAGCTGTGTGATGGAGGACTCTTGCTCACCCACTGCCTCCACAAGGTGGCATTGGCTTTGCCCAACTAAAAACCCTTCAGAGAGAAACCCCCAACCAATTTTCTTCTCCACAGTCATTCAAATAGAAGAGCAGAGAAAAACATAAAAAATCAAAACTATGATGACACAAAAGAGATCAGGAGAACACTTTTGTTTTACTGGTCAGAAGCATCTTCTATAACTAAAATATCTCAATGGTTTTAACCTTTTTGGCCTGGGACACAAGCTGGAAAACTCCTTCTTCTGCATACTCCTTAACGTCACTGGAAAGGAAGCTCTTCTGGTGTTTCCTGGCCAAAGAAACCATTCACAAAGAGGACAGATTAGCCCCACTGCTTTGGTGTTTTTTGTCACCAGAAAGGTTCACAAAATGCAGGACTCTAGCGATAACACAAGTTTTATCCTCCAATACCAAATCCCTGCTCAGCTCAGGTCGTACACTGCAGCCCACACTTTGTTCAGCTCTCAGAGGTGAGCTGCCTCCCACACCTCCAAACCGAGTGCCACCACTCGGGGGCAGAAATTGCAAAACAAAGTGCTTTCTGTACCTTTTTTCTCCCACACTGTTCTTCCTCCGGGAACATAATTGCTGCCTTTCTGTAGCCGCCTCCTCCTCCTCCTCTTCCTGATCCTCCCTGTCCTGGTCCAGATACTTACTCCAGCGACTGACTTCTGCCCTTCCCTCCTGCAACATGGAAGAATTACTGAAAATAGCAAAGCACAGGGTTCTCATGCCTGGCATTGTTGTGTGTGCTGAATGCCTTGGACATGTCCCTGTATCCTGTTCCCAGCAGAGCAGAGTTTCTGTGTACATTTCATCTCTCTCTGCAGGAGCCTCTCTGATTCTATACACCATTTCAGCTGTCTGAACCACATAAAGGGATCACTGGTTTCACTAGGATTAATCTAGGTCAGAATGGGTTGGTATTTACCTCAGCTTTGTAGGGATCATACCTGCTGGACCGAACTGTCCTCACATTGTGCTGCTCTATTTTTGCTGTCATTTAGAGGGTCTTCTGTGCACCTAAAATAGAGGTTTAAACTACAGTTTCTAGAACACACTTCTGTCTGTTGATTTATAACTTCCAAATCACCCAGTCATAGCACAAGGGATTGGATAGAAAGCATGGATAGGGACACAGGATAGGAGACATGTCAGAAATAAACAGGATCTGTAGAAAAGGTGATGTCAAACGAAGGATTTGCAAGATAAATTGCACAAATACTTGAAAAAAATCTAGTTAGAGGGTAGCCCTCCTTGCTGTTGTACAAATAGAGTGGAAGTTTGAACTAAAACCACTAATCATGAAATGATACATTCTAATTGATCACCACAAGGGATATAACAGTGTGTCTTTGGGGCAACAGCTTAAACTCACCAATTACATTCCAAGGAAAAAGGGAAGTTATTTCACAACGTTTTGAATGTCACAAATTTTTAAAGACTAAAAATAGCAACCCTTTTTGATAAAGTGAACAAACAATGAGTTTTCTTCCCCAAGCTTAACCCTGAATCACTGTGTGTTCACAGCTAAGTTATGTAACTACCTTTGACTGCTGAAAATAGCCTTCAGTAAAAAGGAAGCTGAACCAGTTCAAGACCAGTTCAAGATTAGACGATTTATAAACAGATTCAGGAATGAAATAAACAGGAAGGTGCTACTCAGATTTT